TTGATGAATGAATAACCCATAACAGTTAACTGTTCGAAGAGAAGATGGTGGAGTACCAAGTTGTGAAAAATAGGCTCTCAAGCACAATTGAACAAGCCAAGGGGCCCACTACCAGTGGGAGATGCACCATTCTTTAATTGGAGTTGGAAGGAAGCCATGCCTCTATAAAGGCGGCTAAAAAGAATGAACACAAATTCAAAGACCTGGCACGTGCTAATTCATCCGATAGAAGCAGATAACTCAATGAGGGTTTCAGGCTGGGGATACAAAGAACATATTTACAGAGCCAGACCTGAAGGAAGGCAACACGCTCAGCATGAGTAGGCTCAGAATTGGAAGCAGTATAAAGGCCTTCCATGCTTGAGTAAGATTCGGTAGTTTTCTTGTCAAATTGTGGGGCAATACTGGAAATCAAAATATTAGGAAATATAGTATCACCCGAGGGCGGAAGATTCACTAGGGCTCCAACATCCCTTAGAGTGATAGACATTGGAATAAGAGGAAAAATAAAAGTGTTATACTCAGAAGACCAGAAACTCATGGCGATTGGGAAAAGCACGGGGTCATAAGTTAGGGGAAAAGGGTAATTTCTAATAGGTCCAAAATCTTAGCACGATCAAAAATTTCTTTGGTGGGACCATGATTTACCATACGTGCATGTCATCTACAAAAACTAGAATCAGTTTTTGGCCAAGTACAGATACCTTTATCGCGGATTTGCTTCAATGGCAGGGAGTTCAGAAATAGAGGGTCTTCAGTGCAAGGGAACAGCTGGCCCACCGTCACTTGTTCAACGACTTCAGCATTATTGAATGATGGACCCAAATAGAATTCATTGAGGTTAGCATTGGCTTGTGTAAGGAAGTTTGGATTTACATACGGCCTGGTAAGGATTTTTTGAAAATCTTCGAAATTGAAAGTATCATCAGATTGAGTTTGTGAAGTCGCCATTGAGTGCAAAGTACAGTTTTTTAAGACTTGTCTAAGAAACTTAGTAGAGAAGCAAGAAGATGAATAGTAAAATAGTGAGGAGGAAGCGCGAAATATAGAGACGTGGTTTAGTGGTGCGATGGAATGGCGTATCTTTGGGGTTTATAAAGGTTTGTAACGTTGTACCTTTTCAGGTTATAGAAGAAAATAATGATTGAAATTCTCGAAAATTTCAAATGTTGCCTGGAAAATACAAGTGAATATAGCAAAGATTAATACTTGGTATTAATTCTGCCATATTGGGGGGTAATTGTTGACACACTAAAAGTGCAGCCCAAATTAAATACCCCAAAGAGTGAAGTCCAATTGGGGAATCCAGGATGAAGGCCCAAATAGGATTATTGATTAATCGAGTGCCTTAGGGTCGCCCAGAGCGATAATTCCGGTCTCGCCCAAACCTTCGAATTGCCCAGGATCTTAGCAAACATAAGATATTACGATTATCCAAAATAGCAGTTATTAAAGCAATTATTGAGCAATTTTATCACATTCCACGATTCAAGGAGCCCAGTTGAAGGCGGTTGAATGACAAGAGTAATGGCAGCAGTTAGATACGGTAGTTCCATGACAAGTTAGCCACCATGAAGAAAGTTGGTAGTTATAGAGCAATCAAGCAGTTTTCAAGCGGTTTGTCACGAAGAAATCATCAAGGGAATATAAAAAGGAAGAGAAGACATAGAGAAAAGGACCCCGAATTAAACATTCTAAAACGGAGAATATGTAATTTCAATTTTTTAGATTAACTTTAATTATCCATTTTCAGTATTAGTGTCCTTGCGACCCTTGGAAGCATTCTGTTTATTTTCAATTGTAATTCTCATCAATAAAGCACACTTTTTTGGAACTTTGTATCTAGAGGTTTGTCCA